AAAAAAAAAAAAAAGAGGAAGAAGAAGACAGCGGGGGAAAGGAGGCGAGGGAGGTAAAGAAGAAGAAGGGGATTGGCGAGGAAGAAGAGCCGGCAGCCATAGCTGACCGGGGAGTTGACGGAGAGGGTTGACCGGGGGTGCTGACCGGCTGGAAACGGTTAGTAGGACTCAGTGGGCCTGAACGGCAGTTAGGGTTGACACACCAGGCATTCTTTAAGTGTTGAGGGCCTGTTTGGACCACTCCCCTACCGGACCAAGTAAGGCTGAGGATGTGTGTCTGACGACTCGACTGTCCCAAAGGTCAAACCCTCCCAAGGACCGGTACAGACCGGCGGGCTGCTCAGTGTGGCTCAGTAGGCCGGAAAGGCTGAGTTGTGGGCTGAAAGCACAGGCAGAACCAAGCTGATCACGTCGTCCTGTCTGCGACGTTAAAGAATTGTTGAGGAGTTACGGGGGATCTCCTTAAATGCCTCCTGATCAGCCACTGGTTCAGTAGTGACAGCCATAGCATAGGTCTGGGCTAGAGACCATAGTTGACAGGGTCCTTGTCATGATTCTGTGGGTTCTTAGATTGAGTCTATAGGTTTGTCAGCCAGGGGTCAGAGTCTACGTGGTGAGGTCTGGAACCACTAACCCGGTTGTACACTTATCACCATGGTTGGGACCCGTAGTGGGTTAGAGACTAGCCCCTATAGTAAGGAGCAGCAAGAAAAGATGGCCGCCTTAGTCCAAGAGAATAGGGAGAGGAAAGAACGTGAGAAGCAAGCGAAGCTCAAGGCTATCGCAGACGAGCGGGCGGTGAAGATGAAGGAAGTGGAGGAGGAGATGAAGAAAAAGGAGAAGGCTGCTGAAGAAGAAGCGGCAGCAGAAGAAGAGAAAGAGAGAATGAGGATTGAGAGTGGAGAAGGAAGCAGTGGTGGCACGATGAAGAGGGAGACAGATATTGAGATGGAGAAGAAAATTAGCGAGTGGGTCGCTAATTTATCGTTGGGTGAAGAGGAGGAGGCAGCGTCCTATGTGACTGAGGATGAGAGGGCTGCACTAGTCAGTGAGCTAGCAACGATGACAGATCCTATGGAAAGGCGAGAAAGGGAGGAGGAGCAGAAATTGGCATGGAAGTTGAGGATGAAGCGAGAGAAGAAGAGGAGGAGAGAGGAAGTGAGTAAAATGACTGCAGAGGTAGCGAAGGTGCAAGCGTGCAGGCACGAGGTGTTGGCCCAGCCGGATGATAAGGCCAAGTGGGACAAGGTACTGGGGTACCTAGAGGTATTGAGCAAGGCCTGGATGGAGGAGCGCCAGGCAAGTTGGAGCCAGGATGTAGCGTTGAGTGCCATGCGGTCTGGTTTCAGGGATTTTGCGCGCAAAATCGTCACCCACATTGGGGGCGAAGTCAAACAGTTGAGGGGCAATGTAGGAAAGTTCTGTGAAGGCGCCATTGAATGTGCAAAAGTCATAGCCGCTGTAGATGGCGAGGCCAGACCCCGTAAGGAGCCTGTCAAGCTCAAGTTCCCAGACGCGTACGGGGGAAAGAAGGAGGAGAACTTGGACAACTGGGAGGCCAGTGTCAACAGTTACATTTATTTACAGCATATCCTGATAGAGGAGCAAGTCCTCGTGGCCTTCCAGGCCCTGAAGGACGAAGCGGCTAGCTTCGCCARGTCCCTTGCGCGCGCAGCCGGTTGTGAAAACAACCTGGTTGCATATTCCAAAGTCACCCCCCTCTCTCAGTTCCTCAAGCTCCTTAAGGAGCGATTTGCTGACCCAACGCGAGGCGTCAGAGCCTCAGATAAGTTGTAGACAATCCACTCACGGCAATGGAGGAGTGCCAAGGCACTCAAGGGAACCATGGACGACTTAGTAGTCGTATTGGACCATGGGGTCACTGAGCCCCAACTGGTCCAGTTGTTTTATCGTGCCATGCCAAAGGCCCTACGCGGGCATTTCTTTGACAAGTATGAGTCGAAGTCTATCCCAGTTACCACTTTCTGGCATAAGGACCTGAAAAAGGGGAAGAAGTGGAAGGATCGTACCATCTCAGGCCAAGTCAAGGCCAAGGATCACTTGATCCTGACATTAGAGGAGGGTGGTACAGACGAGGTCCCATATGATCAGATTGAGTGGGGCCTCGAAGATGATGGCAGTAGTGTGGGGCAGGGGAGGTCTTACGCTGCTGTCGCGGCTGGAGGGAGGCCGCAAGGTAGAGGAGGAGGCCAGGGCCAAAAGGGCCAGGCCATGGGAGGCCGTGGGCCGGGCGCACAGGGGGTTGGCGGACAGGGAAACCGCCAAGCGGGAGGTAGGGGTCAAGGTCCCCCGTTAAATCGCCAGGGTAATCGGTCCCCACAGCGAGGAGGTGGAAGGGCACCTCAAGGAGGATGGCACCCAGGCTTGCCACAGGGAAGGCCTGGGAAGACTTGGGCTTGGACCAGCGATTATGGCAGGAACGCGTGAACATGGGTCAGTGCGTATTCTGTGGTGACCCGGCGCACGTAATAAAATTTTGTCCTAAGTATAGACAGGCCCGTTGGGCTGCCCATCAGTCAAAAGGCAGCCGCCAGTAGGGGTTGCAACTGCCCCTACTTCCAGGCCATGTGGAGAAGTGAGCGTGTGCGAACAGGACACTCCCAACCCACATGAGCCTATGGCAGAGGTTGCAGGCCCGTGCCTAGGTAGCTGTCCAGAGACCGTCTGTGTTAGCGTCTCTTTAGGCACGTCCCTCACAGGCGTGGCAGAAGAGTTACGGGAGAGAATGCCCGCCTGGGCCAAGATGAAAAGGGAGAGTAAGGGACAACTGAGTTTGGTAGATGTAGAGGTTTTTAGAAATAGAGTAGGGGCCCTTATAGACTCAGGGGCTACCCGTAGTTATATTAGCCGTAGGGCACTGAAGAAGCTAAGGCTAAGACTAAAAGTCCAGAAGTTAGTCGACCCCATAGTTAGTGTCCTTGCAGACAACCGCACGATGCGAGTTGAGGACTAGAGAAGGATGGGAAGGTGGAGAAAGTTCTCCATTCCCTGACTCTTCCCATACAAGATGACCTTCCTTTTGATGTAGTTTTAGGAATGGATTGGGGAGAGGCAGCAGGGGCCACACTCCAKTTGAGAGAGCATGAGTGTAGGCTCCCTAGTCCGTCAGGCGAGGTTAGGACTGCCCGCTTGTTCCATGTGTCTGGTATAGACCACACCTTGGCACATTGCCGTCTTAGTGCTAAAAAAAGAGCAGTTAGAGGAACAGGTATTTGTAGTTTATGTTAGACCTGTCACTGAGGCCCAGGAAAAGGATAGTTCCACTGATCCAACAATTGCCAAGCTGCTGGAAGAGTTCAAAGATTTTACTGAGTCGCCGACAAGAGTAGTGTCGCGACCTATCCAACACAGGATAGAGATAGAGCCTGGGAGTAGAACTCCTAAGGGTGCAGTCTACAGGATGTCCCCTAGAGAGTTAGAGGAGCTTCGCAAGCAGTTAGACAAACTCCTTGAGAAGGGTTGGATCAGGCCCAGTTCGTCTCCTTTTGGAGCACCGGTCTTGTTTGTCCCCAAGAAGGAAGGAGAGTTGAGAATGTGCATAGACTATAGGGGTTTGAACGCAATTACTGTGAAGAATGTTGAGCCACTGCCCAGGATAGACGATGCAGGGTTGTAAGTATTTATCTAAGACAGATCTGAAGTCCAGATACCATTAGATAGAAGTCCATCCTGATGACCAGTACAAGACTGCGTTCCGGACTAGATAAGGGCACTATGAGTTCATCGTGATGCCCTTTGGACTAACCAACGCGCCAGCTACCTTCCAGTGTTGTATGAATGACCTGTTTAGACCGTGGTTAGATAAGTTTGTAGTAGTCTATCTAGATGATATCCTAGTTTTTAGTAAGACCCTCCAGGAGCACCAAGGTCATCTGAGGCAGGTCTTGGAGAAGCTACGAGAGGCTAACTTCAAGATCAACGCAAAGAAGTGTGAGTGGGCCAAGACCCAAGTTTTGTACTTGGGCCACGTGTTGGACGGAGATGGCATTAAGCCAGAGGACAGCAAGATAGCGGCGATTAGAGACTGGCCGATGCCCCGCGCATTGACAGAGTTGCGGTCGTTCCTAGGCTTAGCTAACTACTATAGGAAGTTCGTGAGGAACTTCTCCACTATCGCCGCCCCCTTGCGCAGACTGCTAAAGAAAGAGGCAATCTGGCAATGGGACAAAGACTGTACGTCTGCGCTCAAGAAGTTAAAGCGCGCGTTAATAGAATATCCCGTCCTCAAAGTAGCAGATCCGTCCTTGCCATTTGTCGTTACCACGGACGCAAGTCAGTATGGGATAGGCGCCGTGTTGCAGCAACACGACGGCAATGGCTATAGACCCGTAGAGTTCATGTCAGCGAGGATGCCCTGTGATAAAGTTGCTACCTCCACGTACGAGAGAGAACTCTACGCTCTCAGGCAGGCTTTAGACCATTGGAAGCACTATCTGCTTGGGAGGCACTTCAAAGTGTATTCTGACCACGAGACACTTCGCTGGTTAAAGACACAGGCCAAGATGACACCTAAGTTGACTAGGTGGGCCGCAGAGAAAGACCAATTCGACTTTGAGCTCAAGCCAGTAAAGGGCAAATACAACGTAGTTGCGGATGCTCTGAGTAGGAGATCAGACTACTTTGGAGCCGTAGTACACCATCTGGATATAGGGAGAGACTTGCAGGAGAAAGTGCGGCAAGCATATGCGGAAGACCCTATCTACAGCGACCTCCTAAAGAGAGTTAGAGAGGCCCCAGAGACTGAACCAGATTACCGCACTACAGACGGGTTGCTGTTTGAGAAGACTAATGTGTTTGACCGCCTGTGCGTTCCCAACAGCGAAGAGATCCACAGTTTGATTTTAGGGGAATGCCACGATACTGAAGGGCATTTCGGTTGGCAAAAGACATTAGCCAACCTGATGCGTGCGTATATCTAGCCAGGGATGAAGAATGACTGCATAGAGTATGTCCGCAGTTGTAAAGTGTGCCAGAGGAACAAGTCTACTACACGCGCGCCCCTAGGTCTTCTCAGACCCTTGCCTATTCCGGATCAGCCGGGAGACTCCGTGTCCATAGACTTCATGGACCCCCAAGTCAAGAGTAGACATGGTAAGAGCCAAGTCATGGTCGTAGTTGACCGCTTTAGCAAGTATGCAGTTTTCGTTCCTTTGCCTGCAGAGGCACGTACGGACTTAGTGATACAGAAGTTTTTTGACTTTTGGGTTAGTGAGAATGGAATCCCATTGTGGATAGTTAGTGATAGAGATAGCCGTTTCACCAGCCAGAACTGGCAAGAACTCATGAGAGTTTACGGATCTAAGTTGTTAATGTCATCTGGCCGTCACCCAGAGACTAACGGTCARGCAGAACAGATGAACAAGATCCTACAGCAAGTTCTGCGCATGTACATTAGACCAGATCAGATTAACTGGGATGAGATGTTGCCTAAGGTAGCTAGTGCATACAACAACAGCGTGCATCTATCCACCTGCCGCACTCCCAAYGAGTTGCACAAGTCCTTTAGACCACGCAGACCGTTCGAAGGACTGAACCGAGATCAGATTCACAGATTACCGCCCGGTACCAGGGAGTTTGCAATACAGCACGAGAAAGAACTAGCCACTGTTGTTGAAAACCTCAGGAAGGCCCAGCATAGGATGATAGAGCAAGCTAATAAGCACCGCCGCCCGTCGCAGTTTCAGGTAGG